CAAAATAATTCATATTTTTCAGATGAAACGGCCACAAATTCTCCTTACACCTGTTATTCAGGTCCACAACAAGGAAAAGCCAAATACCAAGAAAGTCCAGTAAATCCTGCAAAAACCAAGACTAGTCGAGGGAGCAATCATTATCGTTGAATTAATAGTGCAAGCGGACCTGGGACCTAAGACAATGCTTTCATCAGTACATTAGCAGCCTTTCATTACATGTTTCATAGTTTTCAAGGTTGAGTCAGATAATGAATAAACTGATGTTGGCATACATGTTTTACACAGCTTCAAGGAAATTCATATTTATTGCCCAAGACAGTTGAAATAACATAAGAAGTAATGGTATTCAGATTGCTGAGCTAATAATTACACCTTTTATAAACCAGAAATAGATTCTGTACTTGTCTTGTCATCTTGGTTTAGTTACACGCCTTGCTTTTCTTTCAACATACCATTATTGTACTATGCATTGCTTAGTTTACACGCTTTGCCATTTGTTTGTCTGTACTTGTCAGCTTGGCTTAGTTTACACGCCTTGCTATTATTTCAGCATATCATTGCTGTATTAGGCATTGCTTAGTTGACACGCTTTGCCATTTGTTTGTCTGTACTGGTCAGCTTGGCTTAGTTTACACGCCTTGCTATTATCTCAGCATACCATTGCTGTATTAGGCATTGCTTAGTTTACACGCTTTGCCATTTGTTTGTCTGTACTTGTCAGCTTGGCTTAGTTTACACGCCTTGCTATTATTTCAGCATATCATTGCTGTATTAGGCATTGCTTAGTTGACACCCTTTGCCATTTGTTTGTCTGTACTGGTCAGCTTGGCTTAGTTTACACGCCTTGCTATTATTTCAGCATACCATTGCTGTATTAGGCATTGCTTAGTTGACACGCTTTGCCATTTGTTTGTCTGTACTGGTCGGCTTGGCTTAGTTTACACGCCTTGCTATTATTTCAGCATACCCTTGCTGTATTAGGCATTGCTTAGTTGACACGCTTTGCCATTTGTTTGTCTGTACTGGTCAGCTTGGCTTAGTTTACACGCCTTGATATTATTTCAGCATACCATTGCTGTATTAGGCATTGCTTAGTTGACGCGATTTGCCTTCATTCATAAATTTTAATAGTGTGCATTGCTTAGTTTAAATGCTTTGCAATTTGTTTTCAAGTCTCAAATTATGTACTGTCTTGTCAGCTTTGCTTAGTTTATTTTATCCATTCTGCACGGCTGATGCTTTAATTTGATATGAAATTGGATTTTAATTGTACATAGATACATTGTTACATCAGAAGTTCTTTTTCAAATTAATCATGTATGGGAACCCTACTAGCCCGCGCAAGAAAAATGTCCAATATCTAGTCAGGAACGACAGCCTTTATAAAAGGCCGCGGGAGATTTCCACATCATGTCTTAAATACATAAGTTTTTAATTAATCTAGGTTACAGTTTTACACTTTAATTTTTCGTAATTTAAGGTCTGTCGGTATAAGGCAGCAGATCTTTATATATAGAAAAAGCAGTGAATTTCAGCAAACTGAGTGCCATTACAATCTTTTAAATTACTGACAGTTAAAGGCTGCAGTACGTTATACATACTGTAGGTTACAGTTTTCCACTTTTATTTTGGTAATTTATGATCTGTCGGTATAAGGCAGCAGTTCTTTAGATATTATAAAAAAGACAGTGAATTACTGCCAACTGAGTGTCATTACAGTCTTTCAAATAACTGACAGTTCAAGGCTGCAGTTTTCTCCTTGCTGACGGTGCAAGGCTGAAGTTTATTTCTTTCGTGCCATAATAATGTGTATGACGGTATTCCTATTCATGTATATCTTGTGGCAGATATGCACAATTTGGCTTCATAAAGGTTTTATAAATCTGACAGTACAAGGCTGCAGGTTTCTTAATTAATCATACATGTAATTTCAGATTGTGTTCATGCTACTGCATGATATTAATATCACTAGTTGAATGGATTTATGTAAATGTTATAAGTACATTTGTACTGAAGGTTTTTATGTATTATTGTAGAAATGTTTACATTCACATCTTGTTCAAAGGTCTTGTTACTTTATAATTTTTTGGAAGAGTCTAGTCTTGTATAGAAACTTTTTCTATTTATCCTTACTTAATACATTAATTTATATTTTTCATGCAACAATCATATAATGAACAAATTAACATTAGACACGTCAGACTCACATGTATTTAGGTCAAATGCATAAATAAGGTTTAATTAGATATTTTACAATTTTGATTTCAATTCTACATTAGGTCTTAACTGATAATTGGAAAAATGTATAGCGAACAAATTGACATTTACATCTATTTTGGTTTAATGCATTTTAAAGGTTTAACGAATAAATGATTCGAAAGAATTGGCATATCCGCTAGGACTTACGCAAATTGAAGATACTAACTGAAATTCAATGTCACATACCTTCATAGGAGATGTGTATGTTTAAATGTCTAAGGTGCCACGCACTGTTGACATACTCCAGTCTATGCATTTAAAATTTTAATTTACAATCTACTAGCCCAAATTCAGTTTTGAATTCATACTACTATATATTTAACTAAATTTTTGTATATTTTTCACTTCATGAACTAGTTTCACAGGCTAGGGGCCTGTGCCAAGTTTGATGACTGCAACTTGGAAGCCATGGCCATGCAATTTTGGCTGTTCACCATTGAAGGATATCTGGTTGCTGATACAATAATAATCCATTCCTAATTTCTAATTTAAAAAAGAATTTTTTCTAGTTTCATTGTCATTGATGACTAGTATATCTTGTAACAATTTTCCATTACACATAGTTTGAAACTATAAATTTGATTCATACCTCTATTTGTTACAATCAGTTTAGACGTTCAAACAGTCCGGATAATGCATACTGTCAGATGTCTCAATAATACATATATAATGTAATTGTTATAAGTATTTTCACAGCTAATTTTTGGGGCTAGAAACTCATTTGCTGATTTTCAATAGCATATCCTGTAATGTGCCTGACAGATTTAGGATGCAGTCAACATATATTGAAAGAACCAGTCAGGTTCCTTAGAAATGTAAGACATTAATTCTGGACATATTATAATAGTGTCATTAGATATATGATTAAATTTTGTCTTCACATTTTTATCCTAGCATGACTTGATTAAATTAACGTTTACTTCAAAAAATTAAGTCCCTCTGTTTCAATCCTTATTACAGGTCAAGCTCATCCCTAGTCAAGTCTCCCTGGGTGGCGGAAGGTTCCCTTTGTGGCGGTTTTTACCTCCCAGTTTGGTTATTTCGATACAAATATGTACATGCCATGTTTGTTATTATGTAACATTTGTCATGTTTGTTATTATGTAACATTTGTCATTTATGGCATTTAATAAATGCCTATTTCATTCAACCTAAGTGTTGTGTTTTATCTCATACCAAACAAGTTCGTCTTGCCAGTTTATATTTGCTTGACCTGGACAATACATAAAATAGATTTTATGCCCACATAAAATAATTTATGTCATTGTTCTGTCCCTATACTCATTACTGTACAGAATATTACGGGTTAGGTTTTTAGCCGTTACGGGGCAGGTTTTAGCCAAGTACGTCTTAACCAATCGATATCAAGACTTAAATCATGTGATGTTAATTAACCAATGATTACATTAGATCTATCACAAAGAAATAATTTTGGCGAGGAATGATTCTCGCCTTTCTGTTTACTAAAATCCACCTCCTCCAACTCCATCCTCCTCTTTCAATTTTTGATGTTGATATAAATACCATTTCATTTATTCTTAATGAATCAGTTGTTTCACTTATTGTTTATCTCAATTATTTGTGCAACTATTCATGAGATACACTATATATATATATATAATATTATGTATATTGTTCATGCAAAGATTTATAAAACTAGTCGATGTTATATTATCTCTTTCAAATATTTTTCTATTTGTTGTCATAAATACTTATGATCTAGTCATATGTTATACACTTTTTAATGTATAGAATGTTTAAACTATTTTCCAAGGATGGAGCCCTACATCAAGTGGTACTAGACACAAGATAAAAGGGCACAGGTTTCCAAACTATGGTTTTTCCTGGGCGAGTCGACCACGATTTGGAAAATATTTATTTTTTCTGGTCAATTGTTTTTGATCAGCAATCCATTTTATTATATTTATGTAGATGGTTTTTGGTTCAACTTTGTCATCTTACACAACTTTTGTTAAGATTGTAATCTATTTGAATTACATTACAATGTTATCATAATCTGGCGGTTTTTACCTCCCAGTTTGGTTATTTCGATACAAATATGTACATGCCATGTTTGTTATTATGTAACATTTGTCATGTTTGTTATTATGTAACATTTGTCATTTATGGCATTTAATAAATGCCCTAAATGGTAAGATAACTCCCTTGCTCCACACATCCGGAAAGATACCAGAGTCTAATATAATGTTAAAAAAATAGCGTAAGTACAGCCAGCAGATAATCAGGAGCATTTTTGAGATACTCATTAATAATATTATCAAATATAGATGGACTTTTATTATTCTTAAGCGCCTTTATAGCCTTATCTATTTCTTGCTCAGTAAATTGCGAATTCAGTGCCTCATTAAACATTGGTAAGTTGTTAACATTAAAATTATCTACGTCATTTTCATTTCTTAAAATATCTGCATTCAAATTACTGAAATGCTCATGGAAAACCTCATTAGTTATTTTATTTATTATCACTTTTTTATCAGAAGAATATTTATTTAATAAACTCCAATAAGATTTAGGATCACTATATATGCTTTAATCCTCTCAGTTTTTTTATGACATTGTCATTGAAACTGTTAAACTTTTTATTTAATTCTTTTTTATATCTTTTACTGTTTATCATCATAAGGTTTTAATTACCTTCGGTTTTATTTTTCCTATAGGTATTTCTGCTTAGGTAATATTCATTTCTAAATTTCGAGCAATCTTTATCAGGAGATTGACCATGTATAGGGAACAGAATTTAGACAAGAAAAATCATGATGGCTGACAGTGACGGCCCATTTCCTAATTCATCTGAAAATGCTAACCAATATGATCGAAGAGACGCAATATCAGATGGCATTATAGATCTTCTGAAGCCAACAGTTGAAGAGATTGATGACAGAGTTAAAACTGTGAGGTAAAGTATATTTCAAACGTATTAATTCTTATTTAGTCCGTGATATTGTGATCATCAACAGACGCTTCATCAAATTAGAAGAAAATTTGCTACACACGAGACATTTTGATTTGTTAAGCAAACGGCTAAGGGTCAAGTCTGCCGTCAAGTCAAAGTTCCCCATACATCACAAGGTATATGGCCTAACAAAAAAAGTGTTTGTTTCAAGTGACACGGTTTTATTACCTTTACACAAAAGGGTAGATTATTTTTTTTTTAAATATTTTTTTTTGGGTACCACTAAAATACGCAACGGAGATTTTTTTGCGCAACGGACGCAACGGGCGCAACGGAGATATTTTTTTAGAAAAACCGGCACAACGCTTTTTTTAAAAGTCAATGTGCTATATTTAAGCATCTAAAATGATTGTTTAGCACTATTAGTAAGTGTGTTTTAAAATGTTTCATAAATTGTATATGTCTAATTGCACTGAAGGGTTATATGCCTGGCGAAAGCGAAATTTCATGGCGCAACGGAGATAATTTTGGAAAATCGTCACAGCGTTTGTACTAATATATGAAATTAATTAACACCAATGTTATATGAATAAATAAATTAAAAATATATATATATAAACCTTTATCGTATATCAAATAATCAAATAGCTGCAATGTTGATGTTGTAAAGGATTGTGTGCCGGCGAAATGGACATTTTGTCTGCGCAACGGAGATTTTTTTTGGCGCAACGGAATTTTAAATGGCCTAATTAAGTAGTAATATGAAGAAGTAAATCATTAAAGATATTAACTGAATAACTGAACTGGTGTAATAAAAGTCTGTTTTATTAATTTAAAAATGGAATTAGATACGTTTTTATCGTTATGGCTGACACTGGAAGACAAGTATGGATTTTACAATCTGTTTATTTTTTTCCTGTTCAATTCGTTATTTTTACGAAAAGTACTGTACTGTAATAGCAGCTTTTCTATACATAATTTTTTAATGAATTTGCATTAGTATATACTAAATAAAGTCATATGTTAATATTACAGAATCAATGTTCAGTATTTTTTTTTATTATAAACATTCATTGTATTGTTGTTATACCTTTCATAAACTCCGTTGCGCCGATAGATTATTGCGAAACGGAGATTTTATTTTCAAAACTGTGTACTGTTTTTTTATGTCTAAAACATAAAATAATCTTATAAGTTGGTATTGTTGATATTTTATACTCATTTTTACATATACTGTATAAGTTTGATTTTATTAGGTAGAATATCGAATATATCAGATTTTAAATGGACGGCGAAATGGATATAATTTCGGCGCAACGGAAAATGAAGATTTGCATAACGGGTAGATCTTATGTTTGAACATAACCTTTCCTTGTTGATCTTGTTTATCATATTTTAAGAATTTGAGAATAATATAAGTAACAGTCTTTTAAAAATGATTTACTTTCCTTTATTTTAGAAAATGTTGAAAATAGGATATTGTAAAAGATAATTAAATTACGGCAAAATGGACTATTTCGGCGCAACGGGGATTATCATAGCAGTTTTATCATATTATATTATTTCATTTTATTAATTTATTATCTTTCATTAATCATTGTGTACTTTTTCAATAATTGTTTGTTGCGTATACATTGTATATTTCATCAAAAGCAATCCAAATATTTCATAATTATGATATTGACAAAAGGTAATCAATTACACAAGAATTGTTAGCAATTAGCAACGTATCGTGCACGTGTATGGCACTGGTGTTTAATAATGTTTTAAACACTTGTATAAGAAAACTTGACCGTCATCAGTGGTGGATTCAGACTCCAAAAAGTTTTATTACGTCTCACATTTCATATACACATTTTTTCTCATAGTTTGAGTGAAATATTGGCTTAATAAGCTTCAAAGGCAATATTTTCGACAATAACAAGTTATAGAAAAATATTTAATACCTTAAAGTCAATACATGTTCCTCTTAATCACATTTTCTAAATGGTGTGAAAACGTGTGTCCAATAAACATCAACCACGTGTCATTGGTAATTTAATTATCGGTACTTAACACCCGTGATAAACATTCTTCAAATCACCATATTTGCTGTTGTTTCGCTAAATAAACAGTAGCTGCATTTGATTTTAACGGGGTTTTCTGATCGGGGAAGTATTATTTTATGTTTTTTACTGTTTTAAAATGGCAATAGAAAGAACAGCAAATTCTGAGTAACATGCATGTCGTTTTACTATTTTAATAACTTTATCAAACAATTAATATTTTGTATAGTTACTATACTATTTTTAATTTTAAAAATGCATAAAATATTTCAATCATTATTAAAAAGATAATGTAATATGGTTAGCAAATTGCTTGCTACTGGTCATGCTTTTAACAAATAAAGTGATTTGCTTATAAATTCCCGGCAGCAGAAATAAGAAAATAATTTTTACAGTTAAAAAATTATAGGATCAAATTTAAACGAGTACTAACAGATTGAACGGGAAAAAATGAAACAGATTGTAAAATCCATACTTGTCTTTCAGTGTTAGCCATAACGATAAAAACGTATTTAATTCCATTTTTAAATTAATAAAACAGACTTTTATTACACCACTTGAGTAATTCAGTTAATATCTTTAATGATTTACTTCTTCATATTACAACTTAATTAGGACAAACATTGTTTTCTTTTTAAATTCCGTTGCGCCAAAAAAAAAATCTCCGTTGCGCAGACAAAATATATGTCCATTTTTCCGGCACACTACCCTTTACAACATCAACATTGTAGCTATTTGATTATTTGATATACGATTAAGGTTTTTAAATATTTTTTTTTTAATTTATTTATTCAAATAACATTGGTGTTAATTAATTTCATATAATTATTAGTACAAACGTTGTGCCAATTTTCCAAAATTATCTCCGTTGCGCCATGAAATTTCCATTTCGCCAGGCATATATAATCCTTCAGTGTAAACATATACAATTTATGAAACATTTTAAAACATACTTACTTAAAAGTGCTAAACAATCATATTAGATGCTCAAATTCAGCATATTGACTTTAAAAAAGGCGTTGTGTCGGTTTTTTCTAAAAAAATATCTCCGTTGCGCCATGAAATTTCCATTTCGCCAGGCATATATTCCTTCAGTGCAACTAAACATATACAATTTATGAAACATTTTAAAACATACTTACTTAATAGTGCCAAACAATCATTTTAGATGCTTAAATATAGCACATTGACTTTAAAAAAAGTCGTTGTGCCGGTTTTTTTTTTTAAAAATATCTCCGTTGCGCCCGTTGCGTCCGTTGCGCCAAAAAATCTCCGTTGCGTATTTTAGTGGTACCGTTTTTTTTTATATCAATTGATGAGAATATGAATATTGGGCGCAAAGTTTAATATGAAAAAGGCAAAGCCTCAAAGCAAGCTCGATGTACTTTTAACGTGAAATAGTATGAAATAATCGCTCATTTTTATTTCAAATGCAGTGACGAGTGCGTGTGACGTCACACATACTGTGTTAAATATGGCTCCGCCCCTGTCGTGAAATGAATAATGAGTTTTGAAAACAAACCTTGATAAAACTTTGTTTGTTTATTTTATTTCACTCTATAATTTTTCAAGCGAAATAAAGATTATTAAAAGTGAAATAAATGTAAAACTTAACACGTTTGCGACATTAAAATAGCGTTCTTAATTTGTTTGTTTTGCACGTGCTGTTTGGCGCTACATGCTGACGTCACGTAAACAATACTTTAAACGTCTGTACAGCGTTAACGACTGGATAAAAGATATTGGTGTTCGGATTCATTTTCTTAGTTAGACCATTTTCTTTCATTCTAGATAGTTTTCTCATCAAAATTCGACAAAAAAATGTTTTTATTTATCAGATTTCAAACAAAATGGCGCCTTCGATTTTCATTTTATCATTCGATATTTTATACACAGCTTCCGTTATTCTGGTTCCCTGTCCAATTATGGTTCCCATAGACGTGCGCGGGTGACCAGTCTACACATCCGTTTTCAGTCAGAATTCCTCAGTTTTTATCGTTATCTTTAAATTCGAAAGGTTGCGATGTGTCCAATTCGGTACTTTGGACGAAAGTTTTCAAAACCATCACTTAACAGGTACTCGCGTTACTGTAAAGCTCGCTTTGCGAGCAGGCCCTTCGGGCCAGCTCGTCGAGCTCGCTATTATGCAGCGTCAAACAAAATATTGCCTGTTTTCCCTCAAAAAGTTTAAGGTCGCAGGGCTCTCAGTTAGTCAAAATATATTGCCAAAGCTTGATTCTGAGATATTTTCTTTCTGGGGCAGAATCTCGCTTTAAGAGGCGAGATATTGCCCAGACACGAAAATAGCACAATATCTCGTTGCGCACTACAATTAGTTGGACTAGGCTCTCAGTAGGGTCAGAATTTCACGAGCCACTGCACTGTGACTCTCTGGCCAAACGAGTCAAATCATTTTTTTCTAGTGTCATTTGACTACATTAATCATTTTTAAGTTACAAAAATAACTGTATTGGAGGTCATTTTGTGTAGATTCTCAAGTCTCTCCCCCCCCCCCCCACCAAAAAAAAGAAAGAAAGACAACAAAAAAAACCAAACAAATAAAAAAATGAACTGCATCTTTACTGTGAAAGAATAAAATAAGCCACAGCTTTTCTGATTAAATCATTAACCCATTGCTTCATGAGCATTTTGTGAAAAATGCCTGTTTTCATTGAAAAGTCTTCCGTTACAAGTTCAAATTGCTATAATACTATAAAAACTGCTTCAACACTAATCAAACTTGGCACAAATGATGACTGGACCATTGCCCTTGCAACAACATGCTCAGACTAAAATTTTCTGTTACCATGGCAACGAGGGGACATCTCAAAATTGCCAAAAATCACTATTTTGCGTTGATTTTTTCCATCAAAATTGATTTCAAAGTGCTGCAACTTCTCAATGGGTTGAGATAGAGTCAAATGCTTTTCAGCGTTGGTTACACGTTACCTTATGATCAATCTGGGGTCATTTACAGCCTCTCACAAGTCCAAAATTTTCTTGGCGATGAGGGGGACTCCGCCCCCCTTCAAACCCCCCCAAACAGAAGGGGGCACATCCCCCTTCTGGCAACCCCCTGATGTATCTTTTGGTTGGGGGGCCGCGCCGAAAAAGAGGTCACTTTTTTTAACAACATTTCTCAAACAAAAACAAGTGTTTGGGGCCTAAATAAGACATTTTTTCATCATTTGAGACAACAAAAAGGGGGGGGGGTGAAAAAGGCGTTAAAAGGCGTGTATATGAAGTAATGGGTTAATGTATAAAATATAAAAAAATATCTTTACTGGTATGCTATATGTGTGGGAAATTGACTCTTGTGCAGATTTTAGCATGTGTCAAATTTGTGTATTTCTTGATTTTCATGAGTCAAATCCCGGATCCCCTTGTCACTGGAGAGCCCTGGAGTAAAAAAATAGGGTAGGTAGGGACACCGGAAATAATCATTTTTTTTTAGGCCTAACCACCACAGCATTATAATAAGTGGCTACCTGGAGTCCTACTAAACACTGCTAAGATCTGCTAAGGAGACACAAAGGACTGCCAAGGAGGTACAAAGGACCTTAAAACACCTCCTAGTTCTACGTGACTCACATACAGCTAAAACTTTTGGCCGTAGGGCTAGCCACTGCCTTATAGTACCTGTCGCTTTTATTTTGACATTGAGTGACAGCAGGTTCCATTTTAAAAATGTCATTTCATGCAACGCTTCCATTTTCGCTCAAAAATACTTGACTATTAATATTATCCGAAATGTTGCGATTGTTCATTATGGGAATACCCCACCTATTTTCATTGAATTACATTGAAAATGGCAGCACTCGACTAGAACTGACACTGAAAATTTCATTGATAGTATAGAGGTCTATATATTCTTGAATTGATTGTTGATTTTCTTTTAAATATGAGTATACATGTGTAGTCTATAGCCAGGCAAGCCAAAGCCCGGGCCTGCTTCACTGTCCCGGCCTTTGACTTCCCCGTATAAAACCTATTTGCTGAAGTTTCTTTAGCTAGGCATGGCCAGCACCCCCCACTATTTTTAGCAGTCAACATACATGTATATATCTGTCTTTTGTCCATAAATGCTAGAAATCTTGTTAGATTCAACAATTAAATGTATTCGTATAGAAAATATTTGTTCTGTTTCACCTGCAATGCCTTTAAAAGGTATCAAGGTATCTACACCTAACTGTACCAGGTGAATTACATGAAATATAAAAATGTTGTTGCACACAAAAACAATAACAAAAGCATTGTAATTTACTTATAAATTTACAAAATCAGAGAATACAGTGAATAGCATTTACATCATGGCTACTGAGCCATTATATGCTAATTTGTGGGTGGGAAAATATGACAATAAGTAATTGCTTATAAAAAGCCTTGAAAAATCAATAAAATCTTACATGGGAGTCAGACTGGCTATTGGAATATGGAAAATATTATGTTTGTATCTATTGGAATTTGCATATCTTCTTACGTCATAACTGTAAGGGCTTGCGGCCAAATTTCTGTATCAAAGAAATTTGCAAATGATCAATCAAGAAAAGACATAGAAGATAAAAGGGCCTTCCAAGTTGAACACAAGTGTTTGTAGGAACTAAAAATTTGCATTTAAATTTCCATTGAACATATATACTTTTGATATAGAAACAAATATAGATACATGTATCATAAATTATGTTTAGAGTCTTTACAAATTCATTAATTTATTTTAGCTTGAATTGAGTGAAAAACATTTCACTCAGCTTACCATTTTTTAGTCATTTTCAATATTAAAATTATCAAACAGAATGTGAAATTTCGCATGCAAATTATTGGTTCTGACCTAGTAACATCATAGTGTACATGAATCTCAAAACAAAACTGCAGGACTCAAAATAAAGCAAATTCATGTAAATACAAGATGATATTTACAATGGACATTTTTGTCATTTTCTATTGAAGCCCATAGATAAAGATAGAATAGATATACATTGCAGAATTTATAGTGAATTGTCAGTTAATTAAAGTGAGGTTATCAGACTTCCCGAAATACGTCGGTCCGACGGACATGTCCGATAAATTTTGATCAGGTCCGACAATTTTTTATTCCGGATCGGTCAGACTGTCCGGCTTTTATCCAAGCCGCATGTATACAAAATGGCGTCGCTAAAGTTGCCAAACCTGGGAAAAACCGAAAATCTACGTCAGAAGAGTGCGCAGAACAGCAATAAAAGGATGAAAAGAATAGACCTGAGACGAAATTTAATGAAAAATGGAAGCAGAACCATGAATCATTGGTGTATGACAGGTGTCTGACAGGGAGGAGATGAAAATGCGCTGTACGGATTGTGCCGATTTTTACGGCGAAAAAATAAAAAAACAAAAAGTGTCTTAGAAATACAAACACAAGTTTTTCTTTGATTTTGATCAATTTTATTTGGTCTGACAGATTTTGTTTCGGTCCGACAGATTTTCATGGTTTGTCAGACCGAATGTCTGACAGTTTTTTTCAACTTTCGGGAAGTCTGGGTTATTTTCTTTTCACTTTTAGAGAAAGTCAAGTTGAACTACGCCAGCAAATTGACAGCTTAGCTGGAGGTAAGAGTAATAATGTTTGAGTCTAAGTTTTCATTTCTTAAGTATTTTGTATGTAAACATTCTCAGTAAACATGAAAGCTGTCATGGCTTTTGTAAAGCAGATAGAACTTACTAGTCTTACATGTGATTCATAATATACACACCAAGCTCCTTAAAGCAGACAGTAACAGCATGCCTCCAGATGAGTTAAAATATTTCAATGAAAAATCAAAACTTTGAGGAAAATGTACTAAGATATGAGGAAAAGTAAAAGTTTCAAGATTCAAGTAATTATTTACATATTGTGTGCCGATTAATGACTGATTGTTTAGTATTAACATCTTTGTTTCTACTGTCACTGTGTAAGTAATGCAGTAAAGGCAATCTATTTATGCATATTTTGACAACTTTTGGTAATTAATGTGGTTTGTAAGTGCCATTGATAATTTTTAAATTGCTTTCTTTTGGTTACTACACAATATTACACATACAAATACATTTTCAAAAATTTTCATGAAATTAGCATGAATCTGAAGGCTTTAAAGTGTATAAATTTAAGCTATTATCTGATGAAAAGTTATATAGAGAATTTAAAAACAATGAAATTATGTTGCTTTCATTAACATATGGTAATTTCTTTTAAGGACGTTTTCTGGAGTTCATAGGCAAAATTAAAACTGTTCACTAGAATTACTTTAAACTTGGCATGTTGTAAGAATATGATAACAAAAACATTTAAGCGAAAAAAAAATAAGCTTTAAAGCATGTGACATGAATGATTAATTAATATTACATGGTTGCTTTTCAGATTTGCAGGTAATATCTAGTAGCCAGACTATATCGGTGGACTTGGAATCATATGTGAAAAAGTTAAACAATTCAAGAAGGCGTGTTATGTTAGTCAATAATATTTTACAAAATGTTTCAGGTAAGAGTGACTTGTATTCTTCTAGCATATTTTAACTTCGATACTGCCTTGGTGCTGTCATGCATTTTAGCCTAACTTAAATGAAAGATAGAAGTTACTCAACCGGGTGCGGGCCTGACACAGGATTTAGCTTTTGCATATATCTATTTATAACATATACAAATAAATGTATATAGAGGATATTGAATGAGCGTAGGTTTAATACTAAATTTATTGAACGTGTTGAATAAAATCATATTATATAGTTTTTTTTCAATGAGTTCAATAAATTTAGTATGAATCTACACAAATATAATATTCTATTTATCACATATATAAAATAAGAACGGTGAACTGTTAAAATGAGTCATTTTTCAATGACGCGCCTATAGTGTAATGCTTCCATTAGTATGCTTTAACGCAATGTTTATTATTTATATATTGCGCAAATGACGTCACATAAAAGAGTATTTACACTAGTGTAATATCGTTTTTATTAAATGGCTTTATTACACTCCTGTGCTGCGTTTTATGTGATAAAAAGAAATAAGTAATGATTGTATTGCATTGAAAATAACCGGCATCATGTGATTAATACATGCTTAATACATTTGTTACTATATATAGAAAGGAATTGAACAATGATTGAATTTTAATTAGTTATGAGTGTAAGTGATTGATCAAAAGTTTGCGGCATTAAGGGCTAGAACATCATAGTCAGCTGAACATAGGCAAGTGTAAAAATGAATTGCTGCCTGGGTCAAAAAAAATCATAATCAGTCTGCTAAATAAGTGCAAAAATAATTAAATGTGACATGTTAGTTGACATCCTCAAAACAGGCTAGCTGGAAAGTAAAAGTGGGCTTTATAGTCGGGATGGCTTGATTTTGAGAGCTAAAGTACTTGCAAATTGATTCTACTGGAATTTGTACCTATGAAGGGAAGTAACTCTGTCTTATCTTTAGAGGATTCTAGAGTTTTAACAACAGATATATCAAAAGTTATTGTAAAATGTATTTTAAATGCATTTATACTCATTAGAGTTGGGCTGGAAAATGATAATTGGCCCGCAATAAATATTGACCCTCTGGCTGAAGCCCTCGGGCCTTTACTTATTGAGCTGGCTGATTTTCACCTTTCCTCCCTACTCTCTGTATATAAACCTCTTATATGATAAATCTCATAATTTGATGTCTATCAAAAACATTTGATATCCTTTGTTTTTTGTAGGAGAGATTGACCAAATTATACAACAATGTTTCTCGTGAGACTGCTAGACGGAAAGTATTACTAGATCCACCAGGGGCAGGCAGACCAAAATAAGCCATTGAACGCCATTATTCCATGCTTATAATATGTGATATTCATTCCATGAAACTGTTTATCAATGTGCAAATTATTTATTCAATGATAGGAATGATCAGCCTCTTTTCTTGTGTATGTGCAAATTATTTATTCATCTGCTAGAAGGAACAGCCTTTTATTTTTGTTGAACCTTGTTCTATGGAATGATAATTAGTGTTAAAATCTTAAGGTTTTAATGATATGCATCCATAAATGTGATTTAGGGGATAATATGATTGTATGATTAAGGTGATAATATTGGTAGTGTTGATAAATAAATCACAAATAATATTTTAGGGGTGTAATGCAATTAAATGTATTATGTGATCATAAGATGGTATGTTTAGGGTGATAATTAAATTGTGTACCATAGGGGATAATTTTCTATATTGTTGATAAAGATATCACAAATTATCATTAAGAGGGGTAAAGATTTAAGATTGTATATTCCAGGTGATAATTATGGTATTGTAAAAAAACTACAAATCATGATTTTAGAAGATAATGAAAGTGTATGCTCTAGTGATCATAAAATCACGATAAGCGATAATAATTTTTTTGTAATTTCAGGCCACAATGAGATGGCATATTAAGATGAAAAGATTATTTTTTTAATTATTACCATATAATAATAATAATTGCATTCAATCATTTGTGGTTATATTTGTAATTGTGGGGTAAGAATCAGTTTTATGACACATATTAAAAAATAATACTATTTTATAAATAACTTGTGGTGAATCAATATTATTTCATAATTAATTTGTGGGGAATAAATGTTATTATATAAATGACTTGTGTTAATTCAATGTTATTTTATTAATAACTTGTGGTGAATCATTATGTTAATCTATAAATAACTTGTGTTGAATCATTATGTTATTCTATAAATAACTTGTGGCGATTCATCATGTTAATCTATAAATAACTTGTGGCGAATCATCATGTTAATCTATAAATCAGTCTTTGTGAAACAATGTTATTTTTAAAATCATTTGTGGTGAATCAGTGTGGTGTTTTATAAATATTCTTTCTAATAATCACTTGTGGTAAATCAAAAATAACCACTAATTGTGTATATAGATTTTTGTGCCAATAACCCACCACACATTCTTACATATTGTTAAGATTATTTATGTATATGTTTTAGATTTATTGAAAATGAACAAAATAAATATTGTATTACTGTGTACATGTATGTTAAAAGTTTCACATTAATTAATACATATTTATTGTGTGTATTTCTGTGTATGTTAAATTAAAGTACACTGTAATACTTAACTAGTTTTGTGTATTACTGTGTTAGTAAAAAGTTATACTTTAATACTTAATTGATTGTGTGTATTTTGAGTATGTTTAATTAAAGTACACTGTAATACTTAACTAGTTTTGTGTATTACTGTGTAAGTAAAAAGTTATACCTTTATACTTAATTGATTGTTTGTATTTCTATGTATGTTTAAGTACACCATAATACTGAACTTGTTTTGTGCATTGATGTGAAATTAAAAAGTTATACCTTAATACTTAATTGGGTGTACATGTATTATTGTTACTTACTTTCTTCAGGGTATTACTGTGTAATCAGATAACCCAAGATTTTTGCGTTTCCTCAAAGTACGGAGTAGTTGCAACATATAGGGATCACTTCTCCGTCATCTTTCCATCCCTCTGTCACAAAACTTGTCTGGACTACTTCTCAGAAACTACTGGACACAGGTGAAATTTCATCCAAACTTTACAGGAATGATCAGGACAAAGTTTAGTTGTGCTAATTGTCAGCATAAATTTACTGTCTAATGATTTTTGTCAGAGTTATGGTCCTTTAATGACTTAATTTCAAAGTTGGTCTGTACTTCACCTATACCACTTATAAAATTTAAATGAAACTATACAGGATTTATATTTAGCTCAAGTTTTTGCACATATTATACAGATTTTCCAGTTGAATGACTTTTGGCTGAGTTATGGCCCTTCAATAAAGAAGAGTGATCAGTGATCACATGTGTTGTCTCATGATAGTCAATTTTATGTTACAGCTACTGTGTAGCAGGAGATACAAAAATCATTAACAAGCCAAAACACGTTTTTCAGCAAAGGCGATAACTCGAGCAAATTCATTCATACGTAAAACCCATGTAATTAACTAATTTGCGCAAGTACTGTCAGTTACACAGATAAAATGTCATGATGTGCCTATGATATGAATTGATAAATGTGGGACCTCTTTGACCAAATGGTTATCATTGCCAGCGCCGCATTGCTAGCTGGTTAAAATCCTCTATTTAGGGTCTTTGGATTCTTTCATATGGGGCAGCTATCAAGCAAGCTTTAAAAAGGTTGGTGGTTCTTCTCACGTGCCTGCTTGTGCCTGAAAAAGGAGCTACCCATGTTAGCTTACCAACTCTATTATAAGTGGAGAAACTGACAGCGAACAGCATGGATCCTGATCAGACTGGTCAGGATCCCTGCTGGTCGCAAATGCACTTAGTTGGTTTTGTCATGACGCGGCTCATATAATGTGGACAAATATTTGCAGTACATATTTTGCATATTCTTCGATGTTTGAAAATTGTTTTAGAAGCATAATTATATACATTCCGTATATAAAATTTCACTTAAAGAGTAGTAGCAACCTTAATTACAACATACAGGATCTTTAACTGTGTATGAATTTTGTGAACAAACATAATTCAATCAAGCTCAAAATGTATGCAATCATTAACATATTTTATCCCCTGTAATTGTTGTAAAGATAAATGCATGTCTTTAGTTTCCATAAACTTTTTTTTACTAAATACTTGATAGTATAATACATGTAATGCTATGATTCTAATAAAATATTAACTTTTAACTGATGTTTTTTAACATCTGGCCCCCTTCAAAAAATTCAATTTATTTTAGTTGCATCCATTGTTTTCTTGTACCCTATGACACTTTTCATGGAAATTTCACAAAAGTGTCATAAGATAATCCTGTATGAACACATCTGTGGATGTTTCTATATTTATATTCAAAATATTTACCTTTTCATGTTAAATGTTGAATTATGCTTAAACTGATGCTACATGTAGACAGCGGGGACGGTACCTTGCACTTTTCAGTCCCATCCATGAACAGGCTTAGTCAAATTAAGCCTGTAACATTTCCAATTTTGCCATTTGGGGTCATTTTAGCTATTTCTTTCTTTCTAACAGGCTGACTTTCTCAAACAAGGGGGTAACAGTACAATGGCTATTGGCTTTTAGTGTGACAGTATCTACCTAAACATTACGATAAGTTATTAACTATGGAAATATTTTACATTTGGTAAGCACATCTTTATAATATGTGTGTTGGAAAAAAGTATAAAAAAGCCCTGAATATATTTTAAGATGCTTCCTTTATTGGAGTATTGGAGTATTGGAGTATTGAATATCAAAAGAACTTACATGTCTATGAATAAAAATAATTAACTTAAAAACAAATAACTTTAAGATATTACATAGAAAAGGTTCAAAAACATGTGTTGCTAAGGTCACAAGCTTCAAACCACTTGTCCTTCAATACTGTGGGTTCAAGTCCCAACAGGAACCATGGAACATCAGTGGTTCTACTCATGTATCCACTCATGCCTGAATTAATGCATGATCGGGCACCTTCAAAGGTCTTCCTCTAAAAGCTGGAAAGAAGCTGTATGACCGTTTCTGTGTATGGTACATCATAAAATCCAACCTCCATCCCCAACCCTAAAAAGGTTCAATATCTTTTTTTTCTGCCCTCTGAATGATATACAATGGAGGGATAAACGGTGGCTACAATTCTGGTGCCTTAAAATGCCACCCCTCAGCCACAAGGGACTGGTTACGTAATTTCATCATTGTCCTAATAAAAATCTAAACCCCTTACAGTAATGTCATATTTGTTGCAGAGAAAATGGTGGGTCAATTACACAAATTGATCAGGTTACAGGTCAAACATTAAACTTTTGTTCCCATAACCACTAAATTTTATCATAGATTAATGAAAGAAACCCCTTTAGTTACAGTATAACCAAGTTTGTATGTACTATGGTACTAACTAATACTTACATCATTAATAATGTTGATGCCAGAAGTTCAGACGTATTTAGTAAATGATTTATGTAAGCCTTGGTAAAATTTTCACATGCATAGCATTTACAGTCTGCCAACAGGGGAGAGAAGTCCTCCACATATCTGAAATATATAATAAACAGGGGAGACAATTAACAACATATTTCAAGAATTTTACAAGCAAGGGAGAGAAGTCATCCATATATCTGATAGAGGATATTGAATGAGTGTAAGTTCAATACTGAATTTATTGCACGAGTTGAATAATATTATTTTATTCAACGAGTGCAATAAATTCAGTATTGAACTTACACGAATTTAATATTCTATTTATCACATACCCAAAGTAAAGACCGTTTAAAGTGAAATAAGAGTCATTTTTCATTGACGCGCCTATAGTATAACGCTGACATTTAGCGCGTCTTTACACTATGTTTGTATAACGCTAATGACGTCACGTCAAAATATATGCACGGCCGTGCAATACCATATTTACGGAGTCGCAAAATTGGCACGGGTGTGTGATAAAAATATATAATGAACAGGGGAGATTATTAACAACATATTCAAGCCTTCAGAACTGCCTCGCCTATTATCTATAATAAACTCGGAAACAATACATAGTGAAAGTAGTTCTACCACATGGTTTCAGATGTAAACATAAAGAGAGAGATTTAGGTGTCACCCCGGTACGGAATTAGACCCAGCCCGTTGTAGTCTAGAAAGTAGTTCTTTTAAATTTTGAAATGGCCTATTTCATATCATCTTAATTGATACTGGTTATATTTGAAGTATATCTTTAGTTATTATGTACATGAAGTTTCATTTCTGAGTACTTTAAAGGTTGTTTTTGGTGTATTTTTGCAGGATTTCATTTCTGGGTGGAAGGTTTCATGAGGCACTATGCACAAGAATACACACCAGTTACTATTTGGAATATTCTATAGTGATTACAGAAATTAAAAGCTGCAGAAAAACTCCAAGGGCTAATGTATTATTTTTTTGTGCTAAATTTACTTGGACTGCATTGGTGTTTAAAGAAATGGTCATGAAGTTTCGGTACCGGATTTGTTTTGTCCAGAATTTAGCCTTAAATGTGATGGATTTACTACAGGATATATATGTCGAAAATTCAGTAGGCCGTGTCCAGATGTAAAACAAATATTCATATAATTCATTTGACATCCAAAAGAAAATTAAGTCTGTTTCAGTACACTTATGATAGAAAATATGACTGACAACCATTTTTAATTTAAATATGCACACTGGTGTACAATTTTAAACAAATGAGAGTAAATGTCAATAGGTCGGCATTTAGTACTTCGGTTTCTACAATAATAGATATACAAATAATGAATTGTTTGCTTTTGTATCTATGAATTCACTTATTTTAGATGTTTACTTGATATATTGGAAATAAACTTGTCAACAACTACCAGCATTAAATACTATTTGTTTACATGTCTAGTTTCTTTGCGTAGGTTACACCGAAATACCGTATCTGTTCTGTGTATTCATACTATTCGAGGTCCTTATCCTAAGACTGACTGAAAGGGCCAAGTAGTTGCAATTGATATTTTAAGTACATGATAAGCAAGGGAGAGAAATCATTTTTGTATATCTAAAATATATAAAACAGCAGAAGACATTTAAGTCATCCATATACCTCTAATATAACATAAACAGGGTAGATAATACATCCAAATATCTAACATAATTAATTAACAGGGGAGATAAATCATCAACATTTCTGAAAATATTAGATAAACAGGTGTTGGGGAGGTGGGTGGGGGTCATCAAATAGCAAACTTTACAATAATCAGGGGGAAGCTAGAGATCATACAGATATCTGAAAATATAAAATAAAAACGGGGAGAGAAGTTATGTTCATATTTGAAATACGTTACACATATCTTAAATATGTAACCAGAGGGACTGAGTTTATATAAAGATTAACAAAGTTTTCTACATGTAGAGATGAATAAATCATACATGTAATGTTCCTATCAGTATGTTTTTATCTAATTATATAAAAGTGACTAACCAATTGAACCAAGATGATTTACATTGATTTCTGTAAACAGTATAGGAAAGTTAATTTACCTTGTACCATTACTGCAACGTTTAATGCCTATTGCTATAAAATATATAGCAAATATTTGTAAATAAAATGGCCTCTTTGATTACATTGCTTTTATTTAACTTAGATTAAGACTTAGTCTCTTACAATTAATTCAAAATTTACTGTTACAACTTTCAAGTGTGTGTAACTTAACACTGGGAGATGTAAACTTTTTCGTCACATGGTTCCTTTCACCAGTACAGACTGAATATGTAGCTTTAAATGAGGTATACCCTTTCATCAGGCACTCTTAGCACCTGTGAAATGAACAAGATAATTTTGAAATTTAAAAGTTGTATATAATAATTAATGGTTCTAGCAAAAGACAAAATTAAAATCAAGCAACTTACGTTTGATCATTGATATTTATTGACAGACTGGTTGGCAAGCTACAGTCCTGTTCCTCTGTTTTTTCTGGGTTATATTTGTAATCATACTTGAACACAAGAGCATGTCCCCTCTCTGTCACCACATAAGGATATCTTTAATATGTTAAGGTATTTAACCAGCTGAATTTGTAAAATGGATTTGCCCAGTTTTGAAATTGAAACAATCTATTATAAGTTTTTCAATATTAAAATACAAACATAATATTGTCAGTATAAAGTCTGCTCAGATTGAACAAATGTGCTGGCTGGCCTCGTGTTATACTAGGCCAATCACTTTTGGCTCCAGAAGTCAAGATGTTCAAATTTTGTATTCATGTAACTACATCCATTAAAACAACTTGTCAACATTTCTGACCTAAGATAATTATTTGGTTTACAAACTGACAAAGGTATTAAGTTTACCAGTCCAATTGACAAAGATATTCAGTTTACCAATTGACAAAGAAATTTAGTTTCTCAATTAGCATAGATATAATCATATTGATAAAGGTATTCCATTTACCAATTGAAATAGATATTTAGTTTGCCAATAAACATAGATATTTAGTTTACCAATTGAAAAAGATATTTAGTTTAACTATTTAAATACATGTAGATGTTTAGGTTACCAATTGACAAAGGTATTCAGTTCACCAATTGACATAGATATTTAGTTTACCAATTGACAAAGGTATTCAGTTTACCAATTAGCATAGATATTTAGTTTACCAATTGACAAAGGTATTCAGTTTACCAATTGACAAAGATATTCAGTTTACCAATTGACATAGATATTTAGTTTACCAATTGACAAAGATATTTAGTTTGCCAATTAACATAGATATTTTGTTTACCAATTGACAAAGGTATTCATATTACAAATTGACATAAATATTTTAGTTTACCAATTAACAAAGATATTTAATTGACTAATTTAAATAGATATTTGGTTTACCAATTGACAAAGATATTTAGTTTGCCAATTAACATAGATATTTTGTTTACCAATTGACAACGGTATTCATATTACAAATTGACATAAAATATTTTAGTTTACCAATTGACAAAGATATTTAGTTGACTAATTTAAATAGATATTTAGTTTGCCAATTGACAAAGATATTTAGTTTGCCAATTAACATAGATATTCTTTTACCAATTGACAACGGTATTCATATTACAAATTGACATAAATATTTTAGTTTACCAATTGACAAAGATATTTAGTTTACTAATTTAAATAGATATTTAGTTTACCAATTGACAAAGGTATTCAGTTTACCAACTGACATAGATATTTAGTTTACCAATTGACAAAGATATTTAGTATAATAATTTATATAGATATTAAGTTTACCAACTGACAAAATATTTAGTTTTCCTATATACATATATTTGGCTCAGATATGTTGTTTACAAATTGACATAGATATGCAGGTTACTATAATTGATAAACATAATTAGTTTACCTACTGAAAAATATATTTAGTGTCCAAATGGACACAGATATTAGGTTTATCAATAGACATACTGCATTGGAAAACATATGCTTCTCAATAACTGATTTTAATAGTGTAATTTGAAGTTTGGTTTTGAAAATAAAGAGAAAAAGTTCATTTAGTTTTGGTTGGTTATTACGTCACCATCGATGTTATGGTAATACAGCAGCTTTTCAGCTTTATTGTTGGAAGAAGACCCTCTGTGCAATATTTCAGGCAGGAGTGAGCACCTGATTTTGAGAGCTAGCTGGATAGCTCTCTCATATGCACGGGTAAGCAGAATTTCAACCCACAAAGCTGAAGTGATAGGCCATATGGTGGTTTGAATTCAGTAACCTTTGACCTTTAGGCCATAGAGGACACATTAAAAGTACAAAGTACAACAAATGCAAACAATTAGACCACATAGGTAAGTTTCATGTTTTAACTTTGAAAAGTAAAATTAAAACCAGATCAAATTGTCCATTCTGGCATTAACATATACAGTATAATAAAAGGATATGATGAGTCAAACATGTCAATGCCAAGCCCTATAGCTTTAAGTACAGCATCTGGTCTCCATACACTCTGCATCAGTCGTGGTTTCTCCTCCGGTAATAATTTCTAAAAGCAAATAATATATTGTATGTTAATTTTGTTAACCATATCTGTGTAATTCTTTTACCTTTAATATACTGACTTAACATATAGCATCTAACTTATAATTAGAAAAATGAATTCCGATGTTGTAATCTTTTACACTTACTCAACATAAAAATACTAATTAAACAAGAACGTTAGCATAAAATTCTCGCTTAAAAGCATATTCTTATTAAATTCTTGATTAATGTAAAGCAAGAAGCTTAAAACAAACATATTTTAATGCTATACGACAAAATATACACCAACTGTTTTGCATATATAAACAAGTCACTTAACATACTGATTTAACATAACCACTTATTTTGCATTTCAGTTAATTTTCATTACCCACTTAATCAACAAAACTCCACTTACTTGACATATTACACAGCTTTCTTTCCATACACCACTTAACATAAATCACTAACTTTATAGTATACCTTCTTTACATTAAACATCTAACTTACAATAGTATAACTAAGTTATGTTGTTTAAGCTTCTTGCTTTACATTAAACATCTAACTTACAATAGTATAACTAAGTTATGTTGTTTAAGCTTCTTGCTTTACATTAAACATCTAACTTACAATAGTATAACTAAGTTATGTTGTTTAAACTTCTTGCTTTACATTAAACATCTAACTTACAATAGTATAACTAAGTTATGTTGTGTAAGCTTCTTGCTTTACATTAAACATCTAACTTACAATAGTATAACTAAGTTATGTTGTTTAAACTTCTTGCTTTACATTAAACATCTAACTTACAATGGTATAACTAAGTTATGTTGTTTAAACTTCTTGCTTTACATTAAACATCTAACTTACAATAGTATAACTAAGTTATGTTGTTTAAGCTTCTTGCTTTACATTAATCAAGAATTTAACCACACAGCCACTGATGCCATTAAAATTGCTATGTTAAAAATGGAAAACTTACAATTATTTCAGATATAAGATCTGCAGGCCCGGACAAGTCAAAATCTTCTGCATTTGGTCCCATTGCATGAAAACCCTCAAGAGCAAAACCTGAAATAAAAGGTATATGAGCCGCGTCATGAAAAAACCAACATAGTGCGTTTGCGACCAACATGGATCCGCTGTCGCTTGTAAAATAATAATATTTTTTTTTCTATTGACTTTCTAGCTTGTTAAAGTAATAGATTTAGTGAAAAACCAAAATACTTTTACATACACTATTTCGGACATAATCTTTACAGATTAATAAAGAAGCTTCTAGGCTTTCAAATATTTGAAGAATTCTGTGTCCAGGGCAGGTGATTTAAGGTCTGAAAAATTGCACTTTAGTCTTTCTGTCAAAGTGGATGCTTCAATGTAAAAAAAAAATAAGGGCAATAATTAAAAAATCATAAAGTACAGGGTACCAGTTTTTGTGCACTGCACTTCTTCTCAATGAGATCTATCATACTATGAAGTTTCAAGTCCATAGTTTGTATAGTTTAGGAGAAATGGTACGGACAAAAATACAGTATGAAAATTAACTAAGGGCAATAATTCAAAAAATAAGAAGAGCAGAGTACCCATTCTTGTGCATTGCACTTTGGGACATTGAAAGAAGTGTACATACAAAGTTTTGAGTCAATCAGGCTTATAGTGGTTGAGTTGAATCTGAAGGTGTGCTCTTTTAAATTATATACCTTCAACATTCCTGGCAACAGTTTCTCGGGTACATCTCTGCCTCTCTTTAAGATCGTAACCGCCGACGATGCTTCCAAACATTACCGACTTCCCCAGTCTCTGTATATAAACATTATATAAATAATATACTCAATCTTCCAAATGTATATCTAATTTATTTGATAAAAATAATAATATTTAAGAAGTAACAAACTCCATATTTCCAATATTTTCCTTCTTTTAAATTTAAATATTGAAAATATGGAGTTTGTTACATGTACATGTATTTCTTATATTTTAACAGTCATTGAATATAAGATTTTGAATTTACTGGCCTGAATTCCAGTTTTGAATTTATTCTACTATTATTTAACTAAATTTTCTTAAAATTTACATTTGCACAAAACTAATTTTCACTGGCCATGGGCCACAGGGCCAGTGCTCAAATCTATGTTTTATTACTTCAACACTGCACAAGGAACATTTATCATGTCTTAATATCTAATTTGTTATATACAATGTAAAAAGACCATGCTTGTTTGCATTGAAATATGGAATATATTTCACTCAGAAGTATGAATTTTTAAAAATATTTTCAAGAGCACAAAATGAAAGTGAGAATATGTTTAACATTTACATGATTTAATTTGTTTTTAATATGTTTTTTTCCCTAATTCAAACACATTTTTGTCAATATCTCAGCAGTTGGTCCACCTAACCAACTTTGCTGGATAACTATCCAGTAATTACCAATGTCTCCACACATAGCTGACAACACCTACATTTTAATACATTTTTGGCAATGGGTGTAGGACGAAAGCCCTCCAAGACTAAAGTGCTCTCGTGCAAAAATGACAAGACAGACAAAAAGCCCTCCCGTGAAAATTACAGGGCAGACAAAAGCCCTCCCATGAAAATGACTAGGCAGACAAAAGCCCTCCCATGAAAATAACAGGGCCGACAAAAGCCCTCCCATAGCAAATACATATATGTGTGTTGAATACTAATAGTTCTTTCTTTTCAATGCACACCACATATTAAAATTGTAGTCATGCATATTTTTTTTTCCACTGGCATAAGCGTGTTTGTATTTAACAATTTAAATGTGACTTTGTTTTTACTGACATTCATGTAAAAAGTTAGCTCATGAAACAATTCAGAAAGGTATATTCTGAATGAAAGGTTGTTCTAGCTCATACACAAACTTAGGCCATTTGAAAACAACAACAAATATATGTGACAATTGTAATATGCATTGGAAAAAACAGGTATTTAACATACATATATATTTATGTTACGGGAAGGCTTTTGTACGCCTTGTTAATTTCACGGGAGGGGATTATGGTTATGGTCTCAGTAAAATCACACAACCAGTCATTTGCTAAATTTCAGTCAGTAATCATACCACATTTGATTTAAAGGGATATTCAGGCAAAATATGACAAAAATATTAAAATGATCTTATGTACTCAAATCACGCTAAAATGACATTTCTTGAAGATTCAGCATGAATTTCTGTTTAAATTCTATATATTTTGGGTTTGAAGCGTAAATATATCTATATATGTTGAAGCAAATTAGACCCAATAGGTCACCAAAATTAGTTTTAAATAACAAGTCAGGTGACTTCAACAACTCCTTGAAGTTACAATAAGCAGATATTGTGGAAATATTGTATGATTGAAACAAGTTCAGTCATACATTTGACATGTTCTTTAAGTTTCCAGAGTTTCATTTGACAACTATTGTGAAAATGGTTAGCGCTCTTAACCTGACCCTCCGGGGTCAAGTTAGGAAACCATAATTTTATACTTTAATGGAGAAAAAATTTTGTTCCTTTGACTGTCATATATTTATTTTGAGGGCATTTACAGAATATTGAATGAAAAATTCAAAACTAAGAAATGAAAATTTTGCCTGTGTCTCCCTTTAAAAGAAAATTCATTTATTCAATTTTACCCATGAAATATGGTGCTATATCAGTCAAATATATTTCATATTTGTAAAAAATAAAATTTTTAAAATATGTGAACTACTTACCTTTGACTTGTTTATTTTATCCAGTACATCATCTAAAAAGTTCAGGGTTCTATCTACAGCCTTGTTTGCCCTTTTTCTTGTGCTAGTTTTATCTGTGTCGCCATCAGACATACACTGGAATATATCTGGTAAGACAGCTTCCTGTAGCTTCACAAATCCATTAGTGTCTAACTACAAAACAAAACAGGAACTGAGGGAAGTGGTGACCCAGATATGACAAATCATTCGCCCTGCATGTTAATATCTTCAGCTGACTCAAATGCTGTTAAGGTTACATGAAATAAATGGCATGTCATAGTAATGTATTTAGATTTTAAATGCATATGTAACTTTGCCTTTTCCAAGCCATTGCAGGAAAAACTAACTTGCACAGTTTGGGAAATTTTGCATCATAAAATTATTTAATTGAAATAAATATCTGGTACCTTTTGAGACCTCCTCATGCATTTTTGGCAAATTATTTTGAACTGTGCAAAATTGTTTATTCCAACCACTGCAGATATTATCAAAGCATTAAAAATATTAAAATTTGACAATAACATCTAAATTAACTCCAGCAAATTTTTAAGAATTTCAGTTCAATTGGTAATTCTTTTTAAAGATTGGGGGAAAAATAAGCATATTTTCTATTGGGAATTTATCTGGTTATCTGACCCATGGTGAAACTGGGAAAAAGTTACATATGTTACATCTTGTACTCTAACACTTAGCCTGCTAGCTGCAACTGATTCTATTACCTATGTAACCAGTACAGACCAATATCTGATCACCAGTCTCTGATAGAACCAGTGACTGTCTGTAACCTATGTTACCAGTACAGACCAATATCTGATCACCAGTCTCAGATAGAACCAGTCACTGTCTGTAACTTATGTAACCAGTACAGATCAGGATCATCAGTCTCTGATAGAACCAGTGGCTGTCTGTAACCTATGTAACCAGTATAGACCAAGATCATCAGTCTCTGATAGAACCAGTGACTGTCTGTAACCAATGTAACCAGTACAGACCAAGATCACCAGTCTCTGATAGAACCAGTAACTGTTACCTATGTAACTAGTACAGACCAAGATCACCAGTCTCTGATAGAACCAGTGGCTGTCTGTAACCTATGTATCCAGTATAGACCAAGAACATCAGTCTCTGATAGAACCAGTGGCTGTCTGTAACCTATGTAACCAGTATAGACCAAGAACACCAGTCTCTGATAGAACCAGTGTCTGTAACCTATGTAACTAGTACAGACCAAGATCACCAGTCTCTGATAGAACCAGTGGCTGTCTGTAATCTATGTAACCAGTATAGACCAAGATCATCAGTCTCTGATAGAACCAGTGACTGTCTGTAATCTATGTAACCAGTATAGACCAAGATCATCAGTCTCTGATAGAACCAGTGGCTGTCTGTAATCTATGTAACCAGTATAGACCAAGATCACCAGTCTCTGATAGAACCAGTGGCTGTCTGTAACCTATGTAACCAGTATAGACCAAGAACATCAGTCTCTGATAGAACCAGTGTCTGTAATCTATGTAACCAGTATAGACCAAGATCATCAGTCTCTGATAGAACCAGTGGCTGTCTGTAATCTATGTAACCAGTATAGACCAAGATCACCAGTCTATGATAGAACCAGTGGCTGTCTGTAACCTATGTAACCAGTATAGACCAAGAACATCAGTCTCTGATAGAACCAGTGACACTCTGTAACCTATGTAACTAATGTAACTAGTACAGACCAAGATCACCCGTCTCTGATAGAACCAGTGTCTGTCTGTAACCTATGTAACCAGTCCAGACCAAGATCACCAGTTTTAGATAGAGTAATCACATTTATTTTAAGAATCCAAAAACTGCGGTGGGGTTCAAACCTATATCATTGAGGGGCATGAGACTAAAATTCTGCGCCCTTAACCACACGAACACCAAACCAGCTATGAAATAATCTGCAATATTTCAATTCAATCTTATTGCATAGTTGCACAAAAACAACATCTAAATATAATGTAATATTCACCAACCTTCAACTTGCCTCCTTTTCCCCAAAGTCCAATCCCTGACTTTTCATTGTAGCCAGAAGGTACCTGTACTGCTGGGTCTGTGTTAGATGTATAGACTATTTTATCACTAAGAGCTGTAAACTTTGCCATTCCATCCTTGTAACCTTCAATACTTTCTTCATACTGTGCTCTTCAATCATAAAATTTAAGTTTTTGAGGAATAATTGTACAAATGTGTTGAGTCAGGGTCTTTCAAATAGAATTTTGAAAGACCCTGGTTGAGTCAAAGAATACACTCCATTTCAGAAATGATTACCTCCCTTTGTTTATCATATAATAGGTTTATTAAAAAACACCCTTAGTTTATACAGAATTAATTTAAGTAAAATGATTGACTAGGAAGCTATAAGCTTATAAAAACACTCTCTTATTCATTCCTAGAACCAAACAGTACTGAGCAGTAAGTGTAAAGTTTCTTGCTCAAGGTAACAACAGCTTGCCCCTAACAGGGTTTGAACCCACACAGCAAGTTATCCTAAGAATACTAGTCCTTGATCTTGAACAAGCTGCGACAATGCTTGACTAGATTACATCTGATAGAAATGTACAGACTCAAATCTGACCTTCCAAATCTGGCAGATCAAGGTATTGTGTATATCTGAATGTTGCACACAGTCATAATATAAAAGGCTACTACACTTATTAATGTACATGTATACAAAACTTATTTTGGTTTCTGTCATAATGTTTCTTTGCATTACTTAGCTCCAGTATACAGAAAAACCTCTATATAACAACTCCCTTTTGGAGACAAAATATCTCCTGATCCTGAAAGGTGTCTGTAGTCAACATAGTTTAAATCAATTGGCAAGTCTAACTTCAGGGAATACATGTAATTATGGTAGTGTTGTAAAAAGAGGTGATTGTACTACAAAGGTTAAACTTATAGTGAAGTCAAACTTTATGGAATAATGATATTGTTGTTGTAAAGAGGTGACAGTTCTAAAGAGGTTAAACTTATTCATATTGTAAAGTCAAACTTTAGGGAATAATGAGACTGTTGTTGTAAAGAGGTGATTGTACTACAGAGGTTAAACTTATTGTGAAGAATTACTTTAGGGAATAATGATATTGTTGTTGTAAAGAGGTGATTGTACTACAAAGGTTAAACTTAATATGGTGAAGTCAACGATATTGTTGTTTTAAAGAGGTGATTGTACAACAGAGGTTAAACTTATTGTGAAGGCAAACTTTAGGGAATAATGATACTGATTGTATTACAGATGTATGCTCTGCAAAGGTTGAACTGTATGTAAAAATATAACTAGGTTTTAACATCAAATTGGTCCTGAATTAAAATTTGATATAACTTTACATAAGTTCAGTAAGTATAGTTAAAATACATACAGATGACACAAGGGCATATCGATGGCTCAGCGCAATACTGGTCTAAGTGACATTTTTACCAAAAATCACATTTTTACATATTTTGATAATGTAAGGTCAAATACACATTCTGTGAAAATTTTAGGGTAATTTATGCTTTTTTTGCCTTTTTTATTTACATTTAAAATAAAAGTCTATCTCAGGTAGTTCAATTTTGTCAGTGCAGTATAGGTCTAACTTGAGTTGGTCTCTTATTGCGATGTCTAATATATCAATTTTCCTCAAAAATGCTTGAGTTAGACCTTGAATGTTTCATTTCCAGGTAGAGAATAATATGCATATCCCATTGAAATGTGTTATAAAGAATGTGAGAATTCATGAAAACACTAGAAATTATTTGCCTTTGTATAAATCGCAAAATATTAGCCAATTGCATATCATGTACAAGTAACTGTAAACGAAAAATCTTGAAAAAAATTAATAATAATTTAGTGTCACAATTAAACATTGATTTTGTCTTTGAAGTCATTACATCATACTCATACTGTATAATTTGATAAAATAAAGAGTAGTTGAAACTATCATTTTTGTACAATTTAGTAAAAGCCAGTGTATGTTTCTCAAGCATGCACACATTAAAATGGAAAATAACGCGTGTTACACTAGTGGATTCATAACCTCTGATCCCCCTCTAAAAATTCCTTTTTTTTAGTTTGACCTTTTTTTAATCATATGCTGAGATTTCCTAATTCTTAATTTTACACTTTGTTCATATTTATATAATGTGTTCTTCTTAAGATGGTGTAAGGGGGTAGACTGTACATTGTTTCACTGCCAAATCAAACTTAGCCTGTAACACAATGACCAATTTCAGGTTTGAGGGTGTTCTTGGGTTCTTATTTTTAAATTATGTATCTTCTTCTGTATCACTCTCTTTAATCAAGTAAAGTTATTTAAGAAATAATATATCCCAAACTGTGATTTTATTGCTCATTAACATCACTGTTTGGATTTCGGATGCGAGGAATTATATCACGAGGGCGTAGCCCGAGTGATATAATGATGCGCATCAGAACGACAAACAGTAATGTTATCAAGCAATAAAATCACCGATTTGGATATATTATTTCGATTCTAACACGACATTAACACGTACCTGATATTTAGCTAAATTGTGCCTGATTTGTTTCTGGTCTTATTGTCAGGGCGTCTCATTTTTAGTGGTTACGTCACGTGTATATTAAATGATAATGTCACACGTCTAAATATAGAACGTCAAACAGTGATTTTATAGCATAATAACACATACTTTTGGTTCTTCTATGTTCAATCGGGAAAAATGTGGGAAAAAATTAAAAATATGCACACTTATATATTATAATGACCTTTTCAGTTCTTGTATTCTGATAATTTTTTACATCACACAGCTCCATTGAATTTTCGAGAGTGCAATTGTCAAAAACTCTTTGACTTATGTGGCAGAAACAGCTATAAGTTGATAAAAATATTTCATTTTAGATCTATTTAAAAAGCCATTAATTTTACCTATCAAATTTAATGAAATTAAAAATGTAATGACTATCATTTAATGAAATTAAAAATGTTATGACGATCAACTGCTTTTGGTATAGTATCAGTGTCAATGAGAAAATTCAAACATTTATCCATTCTAATTGTTTAGTGCTAATCTACATGTAAGGTGTGCACATGGTGCTTTTCAGGTGTGCGCCTTTTCATATCTGAATGAGTAAGTGGTTGCAAGAGTTTAAAGCACATCTAACTTTACAAAATTGATTCTGAATTATATCATGACTGTACTAACAATACTTTGTTCTATGAATCCCTGATAGTGGGTTGTACTGCCCTACTTTTTTCTCTAAAATATGTTTGACAACCTCTTGTTATTTGGTCAAAATTTAGAGGTAAAATGACTTTGATATATAAAATGAAACACTTTTCTTAAGATATGCACAGTTTTCAGCAAAACATGTCATAAAATTTGCACATTTCACGTTCAAAATATACTCTTAACAGTTGAGAAAGTAAATACAAAATATGTAATAAAAGCATGGTCTAACAGCGGCTTTTATTTTTGAAAATATTTGATATTTATAAATGATTATATCATCAGAAAAGAGGACCACATACATTAAATTCATTAAGATTTAGCGCATAACAGTAATATCGAAATCACAGCATTTAAGCACCAATGGTGGTAATGGTGTACATTCAGAAAATAAAATGTTTCTTCTTTGTACAAATGTGAGTTATAGAAAATGTACATTAATCCCTGTTTTCAAACTTTGATGACCTGGATTGTCAGTCATCATTGTTCATGACTACTGTTCATAACACTATATGAATCAAAACTGTTTGCATTTTATTTAGAATTCAAATTTATTGCACAGATAATCTGCAAAAGATCTTAAGTAAATCTGAATCTCAAACAAATTGAAAAAGAAGAATTACAGAAGTGTTCATTCATCTAAAGTCAGCTAGCATTATATATTAATAGAAAAATATTAAAGGATTTAGTCTTTGTAAAGTTCTTCTACAGACTTGCAAAATATTTTAAACAATGTTTAAATTAACAAAACAATTTTGTTCAAATTTATATCAGAATATATAACATAAAACAGGTCTAACTCAAATATTTGTACCACTTTTACCAAATTGCAAGAGGGAATTTGAGTCTAACTCAAGTTAGTCTTGTATTGCGCTCAGAATTTCAGCGCAATAAAGGTCTAACTCTAAAATACACAATTTGTAACACTTTAATAAAAAATTATATAAATGGCATTATTTCTTATTATAATTAATGTTAACATAGCAAAAAAATATTTTCTAATTTAAGTATTTTTGAATAAAATCAGTTTTTTGTCTCTCCTGAACATTTTCAAAAATAGCAGTTAGACCAGTATTGCGCTGAGCCATCGATATGTGCTACAGTTGGAACATCTTGAAGTTTCTGCAACACATCCCGTGACAAGTGAGCAGCACTGCCTTCAATAAGAAAAATTTCATACATAAGAAAGACAATATAATATTGTATATAAATCAAAGAGAAACATAATATAACATGGTAATATCTGTAAACATTAACTATACATTATATCAAATAATTCAAACAAAACTTTAAGTGTAACCCCTTGACCTACCTGAACCAAATGTGAGTGCAGTCTGCCAGGTTCTATACTATTGCTTAACTAAAGGAAAATTCTTGATATAGATCTTTAATAATTATAGAAATATTTGATATTAAAGTGTTACATTGCATCATACATGCATGTCAAAGTTTCTGTTGAACCTGCCTGAACCAAATGTGAGTGCAGTCTGCCAGGTTCTATACTATTGCTTAACTAAAGGAAAATTCTTGATATAGATCTTTAATAATTATAGAAATATTTGATATTAAAGTGTTACATTGCATCATACATGCATGTCAAAGTTTCTGTTGAACCTGCCTGAACCAAATGTGAGTGCAGTCTGACCAGTTTCTATACTGTTGCTTAACTAAAGGTAAATTCTTGATTTAGATCTTTAATTATGAAATAGAAATTAAAGTCACTCAAGTGTTTCATTGCATCATTTGTCAAAGTTTTTCTGTTAAAAAAATTAACTTGAAACTTACATTAAGTATAATATTTCTGTAAACCTTGATATCTAAAGCACATAAACAACAGCTATGTTGCTTTTTAAACTTATTCTCCTTTGAAACAAAAGAACTTAATATATAAACAATAATACTACTTTTATTTGATCTCCTATGAGAGCTAACATTCCAACAAAAAGTGAAGTGTATTACCTCCCCTTGTGTACAGCATGCACATGGGCGTCTCAACTGTGACATCTTTATTCTGACCAATCTCTGACAATCTCCCGAGTCTGGCTCCTTGACTTCGTACACATTGAATACTGAACTTCATAGTCTCTGTAACACATTAATTAATTATAACAGACTGTGTTGTGATGGAACACAATATAACAGATACATACTAAGTGTTAAGGAACACAATATAACAGATACATACTAAGTGTTAAGGAACACAATATAACAGATACATACTAAGTGTTAAGGAACACAATATAACAGATACATACTAAGTGTTAAGGAACACAATATAACAGATACATACTAAGTGTTAAGGAACACAATATAACAGATACATACTAAGTGTTAAGGAACACAATATAACAGATACATACTAAGTGTTAAGGAACACAATTATAACAGATACATACTAAGTGTTAAGGAACACAATATAACAGATAGTCTAACTTCTAATTAGAATTGTCAAGCGACACCGCAGATAATTTTGGCACAGGCCACTGTCATTTTTTTTTTTTTTTTTTCCATACTAAGTGTGTCTTTTAGAGATTCTGTGGAAAAAATTTCCCAAAATGTACCGGGTTAAACTGAGTTTTTTAATTTTAAAGGGCCCTGCATTTTTTCCCACTTTTGGGAAAATTTTTAAGATTTGGAAGTGGCTTTTCCATGGGCCCCGGAAAAACGACACCAAAAAGGGTTTTGTTGTATGTACTCACAAAAAACTACCCAGGAAAACACTGTTACCCGTACGGATTTTAAAATTAAAAAATGGAAGCCCCGAAAATTTCCAAAAAAATTATTTTGTGTTTTTTAAATAATGTTTTTAAACCCAGTCTCGGGCATTTGCCCTCGGGTTTTCCCTTTTAAAAAAGATCCCTCCGCCATTTTGAAAAAAAAAAATAAATTCCCAACCCAAAGGGGTTGTACAAATTTTTTTTAAAAAAAAGGGGTAAAAATTGGGAAATTTTAATTATAAAATCTTTTATTTTCATGGCTTATGATTTTTTTGTTTTTTTGAAAAAAGATAAAAATTTAAATCATTTTTTTTAAATTTTAAGCACATCCATCCATGGATAAAAAAATAAACGGAAAAAAGAAGCTTTTTCATAAAAATTTTGATGGGGGTGGAATAAATAAAAAAAAAGAAAATTTGAAAAAAAAAAAAAAAAAAAACTGCGAAACGCAAAAAAATGGTATATTTTTTAAATACAGTAGATAAATGTGAACAAAAAAGCAAAATAAATTTACCCTTTTAAAAAAACCCCTTCCCGGGGGAATTTAGGAAGCTTTTCACAAACATGAACCCTTTTTTTAAAATAAATGGAAAATTAAAAAACGGGCCCGGAAATTGGGAAGGGTTTTTAAATAGAGCCCAAACAAATTTTTCGGCTTTTTTTTTTTTAAATTTAATTGGGTGTAAAATTAAACTTATTGAAAAAAAAGTTTTAAAATTAATAAAATTGCGAAAATTTAAAAATTCAAGTTTTTCAATTGGTTTTTAAAAACTAAATAAAACGCTCTTTTTTTTGGGTTAAAACCCAATAAAATAACATATCCTTTTCGATTAATAAAATTTTTAAAAAGTGCTTGTACCACCCAAAACGTACAGGTTGTGGCTCCCCAAAATTTTGGCTACCCTTAGGGGCCCGTACGGTGCCATTTTCCTTTAAGTTTCTACTCTAATTTTTCCGGGCCTTGTGTTTAAAAGAAGCTTCAGTGCGTTGAACTCCAAACCCGTTTGTAGAACATTGATAATATAACATGATAAACTTATGATTAGGGGAAATTTTAAAGGAAATTAAAATTCAAAACCTTCCGGTAAAATGCACATTTTTCTAAAACCGTTTTTTAACTTTTTAAAATTTTTTGTTTTAAAATTTTAAATTAATGTATTATGTCTGTTGAAGGGTTTTTCTAAAAAACATTTCTTACTTAAAAAAACTAATTGTAAATTTTTGTTAATTTAAACCCTTGTTTCCCTAAACGTTTTAAAAAAATTTTTTTTCTTTTGTAATGGTTTTTGGGAATTTCAAGGGGAAGCAATCGTAAAAAACCTTTAAAAGGAATAATGGCTAAACTTTTAAAATGTCACATTTCTTTAATTTTTCATGAAATTCATCAAATCGTTATAAGGAGAAAAAAATAAAAAAATTTGAAAACCCTTTAAAATTAAAATTTAGACTAATTTGTAAATTAAATTTTTTAAATGATAATCGCGAAAAAAAAATACAATATAGTTTGGGGGGAGAATTTTTGGGGGAAAACCCTGATAATATAAAAAAAATTTTCAGATTGTCAATTGTAGGCTTTTTTAAAATTTTAAATTTTTGGAATAAGAATTATATTTATTAATTGATTCATAAGAAAAATTAAAATATTTTTTCATCATCAAAAAAAAAAAATTTTTGAAACGGGAAATTTTCCCTCAATTAGTTTTAAATGATTGCCCCCCTTTTGTTTTTTTAAAACCCAATTTTTAAAATTTTTTTAAAAAGGGGTCAAAAAAAAATTTTTCCCCCAAATTATTTTGAAGAGGAAAAAATTTTTCGGCAGAAAATGCAAGACACGTAAAAAGGAAATAAATTGAAAATACAGAAAAGATATAAGGCTTTTTAAAATTTTTGAACTTTTGTTTTTTAAAATGGGATCCATTATTTTTTTTTTTTAAACCACTAAAACCCTGTAAAATTTGAAAGTAAAACTAAAAATTTATTAGATTTTTCAGCAAAAAAAAAGGTCGAGAGAGTTTTGTCATTTCAAGGGCTTAATTTGTTTATTTCCAACAACTAGGGACTTAAAGCTCTTGTGGGGTTTCCCTTAGCCCCAATAGATTAAAAGGGTTAAAAGGTTTGTTAAAAGTTTTTTTGTTGGTAAACCCTTTTACGTTATATTTAAATTTGGCCAAAAAAGCGTAGATTTAAAAAATTAAAAAAAATGTTGTTGACTTCCCTCTCAAGCTTTTTTTCCAAAAGCTTCTTTGTTCTTTAAATTTGGGAAATGGTCTATCATTAAAAAAACTTTAAAAAATTTCTTAAAAAAAAAATAAAAAAAATAAATACATCTTTTTCCCAAAATTCGGCATCCCTGGTTAAGAAAAGCGTTTTACAGATTTTTAAATTTTTTGAACGGAAAAATTTTTGAAACACTAGGGGGCTTTGGCAATTTATTTCGTTGAAAAATATTCCGTTAGAACTTTGGACTCATTAAAGTTGCATTTGAATTACCCAACCCGATTTCACGCACTGTATGGGGCCATTTTATAAACAGCTTACAAGAATTTAAAATTTAAAAGAGAGGATTTAACATGACTTTTCGGTTGTGACCGTTCAATTTTTTTTGTTTAAAGGGATTTTTTTTTTTAAATTTTTTTCTTAAATTTTTGGTCAAAATTTGTTAAAAAAAACGCTGTTTTTTTTTTGTTTAAAAATTTAAATTTAAAAGATGTTAATGGGAATTTTTTTTTGGGTACAAAGTTTTGCAAAAAATCTGTTAAAACTAACGTAAAATGGAAAAAGAAAAAATTTAAAAAATCGATTTAAAAATGATAAATATGAAATAGGGACTATAGGTCTTTTAATTAGGAAATAGGTTTTCCCCAAAATTTCGGGAAAATGAGATTTTTTACGGAAAATGGGGCGAAAATGAGCGAAAGGGGCTTTTAAAATTTAAATTTTAAGTTTTTTAAAAGACTTTTTTCAATAAAAAGAAAATTTTTAAAGTAAAATTTTTTAGAAATTTTTTAAATTTTTTTTATGAAAAATAATCATAAGAAGATTTTTTGGTTTTTTTTTGGGATAATTTATTACACAAATTCTTATATTTTTCTTTTTGCTTAATTGCAAAAAAGAAAGTGACTAAAGGGCTTTAAAAAATTTAAAAAAAACATTTCAAAATTGGAAAATTTGTTTTACTTAGGGGCAAAGTGGGGAAATTAAATTTTAAAATGATAATATTTTTTCAAAGATAAAAATTTTGTGATTAAATTTGCCATTTATTTTTTCATAATCTTTTATCACAAGTTAATTTCGAGAATCTTTTTTTTGCTTTTGGGATTGGAAAAAAAGAAAAAGGCTACAAAATTTTAAAAATAAAATGTTTAAATTGAATGTTTAAATAAAAATTTCAAATTTTTTGTAAGGGGCGTACAATTCAGAAAATCAAATTCATTTATTTTTAAAAAAAAATCATTATGATGAATTAAACCCGCCTTTATTTGCATTACACAAGTTAACAGATCTTCCCTTTTCCTCACATTGGGAAAAATCGAAAGTGACTCAAAAATGGTTTAAATATAGCGCTGAAAGAGCATGTTTTCAGAATTGAATAAAAATATATCTAAAAAATAATCATTATGATGATTTAATTTCCATGTATTTTCATAAATTCTGGTATACCTGTTTGATATCTTCTTTTTGCCCACATTGGGAACAATAAGAAAGTGACTTAATCGGACGAAAGTCAATGTCAATATTCACGATATTTAAATGTTTTTTATAAAAAAAAATAAATGAGCATTTCATTAAATTATTACAATGTTTTTCATGGTGGATTGACTATAATTTGATGGATGAAATGACTAGCAAAAATATAAAAAAAAAAATCTTTAACTTTAAAAAGATTGAAACTTACCGATATATAATAATACGATATTTTAAAAATTCGGTGGATTACTTTTCCCTTTTTTCATGTGAAATATTATTTTAACATAATGATGGGAAATTCCAAATTATTTTTCAAATTAACATGTACATTAATATTGCTCATCTACACTGGATGAGCATAATAACTGCCACTTTTATCCGTGCAAGAATATCTATGGTGGTGCAGAAGAAAGGTTAATTCAATTGTCCACTCAATAACAACCGGGCAAGTTTCATCAGTTACATACCTATTGATTTGGATTATAATAAATACTTTTAGGGGATTAGAAAGCGTCATGCGGTCCCCGTCGTGTGTATATCAATTAAAAGTGGGTTGCGGAAAATGGATATGACAAACGTGTTTGCATGTAACATTATTCATCTTTATTTTGTCTCATTCGTATACATGGCATTTTCAAACATATATACAACTTTTCACATAAACCTACATAAGACCATTCATTTAAGAATTTCAAGAGAGACATTTTATAAATAATGAGAAACACATTCAAGACCTATTTTTACTGTTAGATTTAGAATCAAACAGTATAAAATTACAATATGAATATTAAAACAGAAATATTAAATGTTAGGTAACACCATCGTTAAATTCAAAAATTAAAAA